TTTTTAAAGAAGACGGTTCTAATGTCAAAGGAGTATGATGTTTTTTTTGTAATCCTGTAGTGATAAAGCAAAAAATATAGAACGGATAAGGTTTTAAAGGCCTATGTATCCTCTCTCCTTCCCTTCGACTTGAAGTGGGGAAGTTTGATGTGATTCCCATACCTTGGGATGGTACGTGTTCTCGTTATCGTGTGTCACCAAAAAAAAAAAGAAACTGCTCAGAGACGCTTCAAACGTTTATTTTCTTGTCGATAACGGAATAAAGCTACATCAGAAGGGGTTAGTTTAACAAATTATCGCAAATCTTCTCATGTACACTTTTTTACCATTATCAGAATACTCTGCAATTTCATACACAAAGTCCTCTGTCGGGCCTGCACATCGTTCCTCTGGGACACGCAGAGCAAACCATTCCGACATTGTACATAGGATAGTAGATAGCATTTCCTCTTAATCATCTTCTGGATTCTGTTCACATGAAAACTAATTACTTACCTTGGTGCGTATCTGCACACGACTACGTACACGGAAGAGCACTGACCAATGGAACAACCTAATCTTCTAGTAGAAGACCAAGCCATCTTCAAAAAACGCTTTTATCCTTCATTATTTAATTTTCTGAGATGCGTACCCGAGTATATGTGGCTATTGGACTATCATAATGAATTGGGTAAAACATTGCAGTTGATCCAGGTCCAGGGTATTGACGAACAACTTTCCACCATGCCACTACTGCCTGACGACCCAAAATATGTGCGAGGAAAGTCTTAACAGCCCATTATATTTTTTACATTTTTGATCGCATCTCTGTACGTGGGAATGTCGCCGCTAATTGGTACTCTATGTAGGTTCTCCCCTGGCTGTTCATCGTTTCCTGGGATATAATTAGTTGTCGGGCATGTCTTCACGTACTGGATGGCATTATCTTCAAGTACACAGTCCCATATCTGAAAGATATATGAAGAATTTATGAATAATATCGACTTCAACTCACCAAGGATAGCATGTTGGTAGCAGTAGGTAGATTTTGTTTTGTGTTATCAGTTACTTGTCCTGTGGCTAATAAAGATCTAAAATACTATCTATGCATTAAGAATCCTACAAAGATAAACAAGATTCTGTGTGTGACCGTAACCATAAAATGAGTTAACATCGCAAAAACTCAACTTCGATAATTGTGTGTGTCGAGAAATTGTGTTCTTAGCGTATCAGTCATCCCACTATTCAGTGGACATCTCGTGTTTTCTGCTGAATTCCAAAAATAAATTTACTTGCTTACTCAGAAGTTCAGTTCATTA